AAAAGTACAACTTTTACTTTACATAAACTTTGGAATTTGATGTAAGAAACCTTTCTGTGACTATTACATAATTTAGCAAATTAATTTTGGTTTGACTGGGGGTCATTTTCTGTCATGCTTAATAGGAGACGATTGATTTGAACAGAGTAAACAGTGGAATCAATTGAAAAAAGCACAAAATAATATACTATTATATTTTACGCAATATTTGAGATTTTTTATGATTTTTTTCTCCAATATTATTGAAGAATGCTAAGAAATAAACAGGTAAGCATCAAATAACTACAAAACTATCTGTTTTCAGGGTCAAAATGGAAGTAGAAAGGGACAAAGAGGTAACATGCGGGTATGAATTGGGGAACAAATTCAGTTAATACATCTGAGCTCAGCCAGAATGAACATATCAACCTTGCTTTAGTGTATTTGTTATGTGCCTTTTACTGGCAGTATTTTAAGAGTGGCAGTCCTTGATCCTTCAGCAGTGACAGTTATTGTTCAGGAGGGGGATCACAGTGAGTGTTTCACGTCACAAGCAGCTGGTATAAGTGACAGCCGTGCTACATTGATGCCACATTATGTTCTCGTAAAGTGTAACGTAATGACTGTGATCTGGCTTGAGCACTTCCTCCCATTGGATATTATTATTTTTTGTGATCCTGAGATCAGTTTTTAAGATTTGATGTTCATTAGGATAACTAAGTTTAGATTCAGTAGAAAATGGTACTGGCATCTTCACAAATGTATACTGCGTTGGCTCCAAAAAAACTCAAATCTGCTTTGTACATTATGCAACATTGACTGGAGGAAAACAGACTTTGTTTAGGAGGAGTCGGAAGAAGATCTGGATTTGAAATTTGGGAAGGGAACAGAACCAAGCAGAGAGACAGAATGAAAATAGATGTCTGGGTCTCTGAAAGTTGGTCAGTTATTATAAAGCCATTGTGGTCAGTGAGTACGTTTATACAGATCCTTCTGAGTCACGCTCAATAAGTCAACCCTTATGGGCCTGGCACTGCCAGCACCCACTGAAGGAAGAAGCAGAAGAGTACACTGGCACCTGGCACACATCCGTAACCCACCACCTCCTCCAGCTCCTCCTCTTCCTCTCAGACACACACACTTAACTCTAACAGACACTGCCATCCCATTCACAACCCTCTGTAGGGTGATTCTTGGCCAAACAAGGAAGGAAAAGCCAGGTGGGCGGAAGGGCAGGATGGACGGAATGATGGAGCCAGCAGGAAGAACAAAAGGCTGGTGCATGACTGTAGACAAGGCACAAAGGGGGGTAATGATGGGTGTGTGTGGAATGATGAATAAGAGAAAGAGAGAGTGAGGCTTTGAGGGGTGTAATGAGCGGGTCAGTGTTGGTTCATGTAGGGCCTGAGCTTGGATATGGAGCCAATTCATATAACTGCAGCTAAAATTAGGTTTCTATGTGTTGTAGCTGAGAGACGGTCTGCACTGCTTGACTTCTTTTCTTACAGGCCACTCATATTACCAGCTAACAGAAAACCACGCTTATATTTCTGCAACTTTCTCTTTGCATAATCTTTGCATAATAATTGATCTTTGCATAATAATTGAGACTTCATGAGTGAGGTTGCTTCTTCATCTAAAAATCACAATTTTACTCTGTTTTTGGAAGATTTTCTTCTATTTATGTGAATTAGAAGACATTTCCAGATTGAAATGTAAAATAAGAGCAGTGGCAATCCAGCTTTACTAAGTCAACCAATGGAGGAAATAAAACCACCTCTTTGTTATTTCTAGTTCTGTTTACAGTAATTATTGGGAGAGAAGTGTGTTTTAAACAAAATTACTAGTGCCATAAGTGTAAGTGAATCAAAAATGTTTTTAGCCATTTTCTCAGTTGTGTAGGTCAATACCTATTTGGCTTAATTCAATGCCATGAGCTCTTTATTTTCCCAAGAGTATTCTTCTGTGTCACATATTTATTCCATAAAAATAAACATGGCAAATTTGTTATATTTTACACAGCTCTTTTCACATTGGATAAAGATGTTTCAATTGGATTTAAATGGGAAGAAATTAAGTGTATTTTTGAGGAACATCAACTTTTGCCACACCTTTGGAACGTGTGTTGATTTTAATGTGCTTTTCATACGGGGACTAACAGTGAGGTGTTTTGCAATTTGTCTGAGTTAGTAATCTTTCCATCATGCCAACTGCTTTTTAGTTTTTTTTAATGATTTTAAAACATTGACCTGCAATTTGGGAATTACCTGTGAATCATTTCAATTCCCGCGAGTGGTCAGATCCTTATTTGGTGAATTAATCAAACAGGAAGTGCCATTAGTTGTCCTTTAATTTTCAAGAATCCAGCATGTCAAGGTGAGACTAGTGTCTATATAAAGTACTATGAGATCAAGCAATGTTGCCAGTGGATCACTTCTACAATATTTCAGTTGGAAAAAAACTACTAGGTGAAAGCTGTAGTGCCCTTGCAGAGGACGTTTCCAACCTGTTTAAACGATTTGTGGAAGATTGGCTTATCTGGTGATGAAATTATGAGTACAGTGAGAAATCCATTACACTGGTGGAGCAGAAGTGAAAGGCTGACACACAATAGTGTGAGGGGCTTATTAACAAAAACATTTCTGCCTGATCCCTGAACACAATTAGAAGCAGTAAAAACAAATGGGAGCCTAAGTCGACTGCTTTTTGGCTCCTGGTGATTCATTTTTCCTGGAAGTAGTCTGATCACCATCTAGTTCTCAGAAGAAAAGAAAGATGAAACCAGACACCTTTCAGCAGGCTTACTGGGACTTAATTCTTTTAAAAGATTGTAGGTTACAGAGGAAGAAATAGTACTGTAAATCATGTGTTCAATCTTTCACTCATCCCCACCCCCAACTCTCCTGCTCCCTTCTTTTCACAGCATTGTCACCCTAGACGTTCACACGGTCTCCTCTTCACTAAGTTTCCGGTCATAAATCTCTGCAACACACCGGGAAGGCACATCCCCTCAGATGGGTTCAACACAACACTCGCCTGCTCCTCTGAGAAAAAGGCGACAGAACCAGGCACACTACAGTCCTCAGCCTAACACACCCTTACAGCAGCACTGATACTTTTACTAGTGAAATTTGCATGACAGTCAGAAAAATACACGGTAATGGCTTTCTGTAAGACATTCACATTTTTGTAAAAATGTGAATGTCATGTAAAAATAGATCTCGATTTTTAATCTCTCTATTCACAATCAATTTTGAAGACTTCCATTTGTCCAAACTACAAAGAATTATACATTGGCTCCAGAATTATACATTGCTCCCAATTTTGAAAAATAAATAAAACAATTAAAATAAATTTTTTGTAGTGGGAAACATCTTTTCTAGATCTTTACAAATCTATTTTTGTGAGCCAAAAGACAGCAAATTAATCAGCAAAATGTTACAAGGGACAAAGCTTATTGGAAAGTTATCTGACATCAGCATAATGATCATTATCAAACTGTAGAACTAGAGCAACAAGCAATTTCTGGATCCCATATCATAATGATATCATACAGTCAAGGAGAGTTAATGATATTGGTTTAAAAAAAAAGCATTAAAACATCTATATAAGGAAACGCCACTGTTGGTAATGAGCCATTGACTTTGTAGTATCCCTAAGCCTTTGGAAGCATAGGCTGATGGTTTTTCATCAGCATATGCCTAATTTTACTCCTACTTTTCACAGCAATCAATAAAAAAAAATCCTGTAAGTAGTAAACTAATAATTCTGATTAACTATGTAGGGCATTTCCTCTGGTATTTTGACAGTTTGTTTGTGGTGAGGAGTCAGGAGGCCTTCTTTGCCATCACAGGTTCAAATTGGCTCCAGAATGTTAAAATTACTTTAGACCTAAATCTGCCCCAAGTATGATCAATGGTGTTTTTTATTCGAGGGAATCTTTCTCTGTGATGCTAAGTACATGACTGGGAAAAAAGCCAACCACTTGTCTTTCCAATAATTTCAGATATCCAAAACAGTGGTTTTGGACAGGAAGAAAACCTTGTGGTAAACCAAAATGTCTATCTGCCTCGCCTAGTCTTTAAATCTTATAATATCCAATGAAATCTTTCGAGGAATATTAGAAAACTAGATAATCTAACAGAGGTTTGATTGTTTGATTAAGAGCGTTTGACACTGAAACCACTGTTTGGGGCCATGAGGAGTGGGGTTAGGATGAGGGCTGTAATTTAGAACTTTGTCACATCTTGAGTTGGACTCTGAGTAATAATGCGTGTTTTAGGTGACTCATGTGTTTGTTAGAATGGGCTCTGTGGAATGCAACCTCAAAATTAGCTGTTGGTATTTATTTGCCCCACCTGCCTTCATGCACCACATTTCCTCAAGGAGTTTCAGTCAATTGTCCTCCAACAAAATTTCACGTTCTTGCTTCTTTCTCTCGTTTGATTTTTTTTTCTCTCGTCTTTTAAATGAGCTGGCCATGGGTGGCCTCGGTTTGCTGCTCCACAGACAAGAAAATCTAAACCAGTGACGGCCTGTTTGTTTTCTTTACCTCACCAACGGCACCCCCACCAAAAAACTACCGCCATCAAACAAGCGCCATACATACACTCCCCTGCTGCCACATCCACCGCGCCACACACACACACCCAGACCACATTCTTACATCCCTACCCCCCACACGCTCCCACAACACACACCCACAAACACACCTGACCGACTTCATTTCCTGTGAGGCATGAGTCAGACGGCTGCAGTGCATTTACCGGAGTAATACATGGTTATTAGCCATTCTGATAATAAAGTGTTGATGTGGCTGTCAAGGCAACCTGAGCAGCAAAAATGGGGGGATTGTGCATGTGTGGGTGGTTGAGATGAGTCTTTGAAGATTCTTTGGAAGTGTTCAGGCATGTGGGGGGTTTATTTGCATGTCTGCAGGTGTGTGTCTGCGTGTGTGTATGTGCGAGAGTTTGGTGTGTAACAAAAAAAGTATAGATGAAACAGCAGGGAGAGCCACTCACCTGTTTTTTCTTGTAGAAGCCCTTTTTGTCACAGTTAGGAAGGCGGAAGCCTCTAGGGTTGAGCACGTTGTTGATCTTCAGGCTGTTCATGATGCTGTCTATCTCCCGTCTGCATGGCCCCTAACAACGCAGCAAACACGCCATCATAAAGAGATTGCCAAGACAGAGAATACTGGGAATACTTTCACAAATTTGAGAGTTTGTGTTGAGCAACAAACTATGAAAATTGACCTGTGTCTATCACTTAATCCTGGCCCTGTTCTTTCATGCATAAAACATCCGAATTTCTTAGTTTGAACTGGAAAGTCTGCGTAGGTACTCATTGTCTTGCAGAAATGAACTTTCTGGTGGGTCCAGGTTAAAGAGGTCATGCCCCAAAATGAGATGCCAGCTTTGAAAAAAAGTGGTACCTACCGCTTCAAAATATTTGTAATCAAAAGTAATTGCACCTAAACAACACTAAAGAACATAAAGTTGGTCTGTGGACTTTTATCCACAAATTGCAGAGCACGGCAGTGTTTGGCATCGTTTGTATGTTTTGTTTTTTCCAGCACATGCATCAAGTTCTCCATGAATACCACCTACATGTGACAGTGTCACAAATCTTCTCCTATTGCAAATGGCCAAGGTATCACAGTGTCTGTCTTTTACTTTGTTCATTCATAAAACATCAGTTCTTCTGTAAAATTAATCTGCAACACATTTTTGGGCCCAGATGTCATTAAGCTTTTCTACTTGTGTCACTGTGGAAAAGACTTAGCTGTAAATAAATACATGCATAGTGATAGGGATTTTCAACAACGAAGCTGTGCTCTATTGAATACAACACCGGGAGTGCCTGAAGACAGTTTGCAACTCTCTAGTCTATAGGCAGTAAATTTCCATGCTCCACAGACATCAAAGAGGCCTACAAAGACTGCCTCATCCAGATCCCTGAGACTGTGATCATTTTTTTGATAAGTAGACAGACAAAAACTAAGACACAGTCAGGATGTAGAAAAGATGACCAAAACACCAACAAATGCAAAGATTTCCACACATATAATAACATATTAGCTTTATTATCATCTATGAAGTTATGGCGATGTCTTGGTTAGAAAAAAAAAAGCACTATGGCGAACCAGGAGAAATGCATGACATTAGAGGCGCAGGGCAACTTGAACAGCAGTAAAGTAGCAGTCAGATAATCAAAAGATGTCTTCCATGTACTGGACATCTTTGTCTTTGTCCCAATTTAAACTCAGAGGAAAACCATAAAAAACTCACTTTGTTGATCATATGTCTTCCCCGAATGTAGATTACGCAGAAACACTACAAGATATTGTTGGGTGACCTTTCTAATCGATGCTAAAATTGTTTCTGTTAAATTAATAAGTTGTAAAGTAGTAATTACTAGGTTTTTTCTTTGCTATCTTACTAAAGTCCTGGGAAGTCATCACAAAGAGTAAACTGATCACCACTTCAATTGACAGATGCGCCACCTGATGCCTGTAATGCTATTGCTTCACTCACTATGCCATCACTAACAGCATATTGTAGAGGTATTTCTACCTTTCTAACCTTTTCCCCTTATCTTATGTAACAACTATGAACTGCAATGTATTTCATCTAGACTGAATCTGATAGACCAAAACAAAGTAGTGCTGAAATGATGAAGTGTAAATAAAATGGTTTGTCTGTTTTTACCAAGATAAATCTGAAAACTGTAGAATGTAGTTGGATACAGTACCCTGACTCAATCTTGTTAGTTGCCTAAAAAGATTTGCTGACTCTTTGATTCTACTGACTCTACACATCTGGAGACTGCTTTTTATTTATTTATTTTTTTGTTTTTGTATATTCTTGTAGATAAAAGAGAGCTCATTCAAATTGACTGGAAACCATCTGAGGACATCAAATATTTGCAACATGTAGTAAGAACTTGATGGGCCTTTTTACAAAAATACTGTGAAATGACAACTAACAATGTTTTTGAAAATGTTGAAAAAGACATGGCATATTTTTGCTAATCAAATTATCTAGATAGCCATCTCTGGTCAATAGAATGAAGTCCAAATTGGACCATAATTTGCTTTTCTTGGTGTGAATCTGTATTCATCTTGAAAGTAGGTATTCATCTGAAAAGGCATGTGAAGCACACTTAAATGGTGAGGTAACGTTTTGTAGGTGTGCATTGCAATGTGATGTGTTGTCTAATGAGCTGTGCAGAACCCACATTTACCACAGAGCTAATTTTTAATTACTTCTGTCTATGTTTTTATCATCCCAAACACAGATTTTACCACAGAAAGTCTCATTGCCTCAGGGTGTGACTTACATACTCAGTCTCCCTCTTGTTCTCCAGGGAGAAGTTGTGCATGTCCTTACTGACTCCTCCTGACACAGGTTCCACCTTGTAGCTCTGCGTCTTCCTATTTTCAGCCTTCTGGATAAGTGTGTTGTGCAGAGGAGGCCTAGTGTTCATTGACCCTGGGCTGTGCCCGCAGTTCACAGTTGCCTCAGCAGGCACGACCGTCACGGTCACGGTCACATTGGCGCCGTCGTCCACTTGATTTCCTGCATTTTCTGCAAAGACGAATTTAAATTAGATCTGTGAAATTTATGCCAGTTCTCTCTTTTGGCACAGTATACAGATGTATGGAAAGAGTTACGTGATTTATTACAAAGCTCAAGCTTGTTTAAAAACTTGCCATACTTGGACCAGATTTTGCTGTGTCTCATGTGGTTTCACAATGAAAATCAGGCAGCAAATTATAATAATTTATTTTCCCCAAAACATTTTTTGCATTTACCTCTAAACCAATACCAAACTTTTATGATTCTATCCTGTAAATTACACAAATACAGAATTATTACTGCTAAGCTTCCCAATCCAACTGAGGACTGTTGACTGTGTAATAAAGGCTTGTTGGAATCAAACAAAATAAAGTTAGGTCTTTGCCTTGTGGGCTGTCAGAATTACAAATGGTATTCACCGATTTGCATATAATGAAGAGCAAGAGATAAAGGAGGAACTGGATAAATCTGATAATTTCTGGGCATAAACAAGCAAAAGATTTGAAAGACAACATTAAAAAGTACATGTGAGAATTTTAAAAAATGTAAAATGAAAAGTGGGGGAGAACATCAAACGTAACTGGGCTGGGGTGGTTTCATTTTAAAATGTTAGAGATGAGTGAAATAAAAAAAAAACGGGGCTTCAAGTACTCCTCCCAAAAGTGGGGTGCACCAATATACCCACAATCTGCCCCCCTCCCGATCAACCACATCATCACACAGTAAAGTGGGCAATGGAAAAGCACACCAGAACCCTGAAGACTGTTTCTAACTCAAAGCAGATTTGGTGTGCACAAGCTGTGATGAGGGCGGTGGACAAGCATGTGGGCGTGTAGCTCATGTGGGCAGCCAGGCTGGCAATCCACCCTTAAATTTTTTCTGTGGCTACCTGATCAATTTGCGAGGCAGTGGTGATCCAGTCAAAAGAACTGGGAATAACTAAATGACATGTCAACAACAACTTCCCTAAAATATATATATTTTTCATTGGCTAATAATATGGACAAAATTTTTTATGATCAAAATAAATCACCTTTTATAGCTTTATGCATTTTGGATAAACACATTACGCAATTTGTTTGTATACTGGCACAGGAGTAAACAGCACAAACTGTGGTCAGGGGAGCTTGTTAATGTCTGGGAGGAGAAGCTGCTCTGGAAATGGGAACCAATGGGGGTGGAAACCACTAAGCTGCAATGACATAATCTGACCAACAGAGGCGCTTAAGACCACCTACATTTTTTTTTTTTTTTTAACTCCATCTCCATCTTTGGAGACACTGTAATACCATCATTATGAATAATTCCCTTTCATGTAAGAATTTCAAAATACTTTCAAACTGAGGCAGGGAATGGTTAAAAAATAGAGAGAAAAAGTCAAATACTACACAGTTCTACAAGTGTTTGTGTGTTCAAACCAAATACACAATCAGAAAGCACATGCAGGGGCACCTAGGTGCCTGAACACACAAGTGTGTGTTTTCACATGAAGGTGGCATGTGTGCCATTTCACCAGTCTGAGCAGCATCCACACTAATCATCATGCACAGAATCCCACCCCCAGTGTCGTGTAGGCTTGCAAGCAGCTCATTGATAATGGGCTGTGATTTTTGAGTGTGTGTTGCTTGTTTATATAGGCCAACCAACCCCTATGTCACTCTACTCACTGCTAGACACCTGAACTACACTGGCTCCCATCCTGGACTAAGGGAAGCTGCTGCATTCTTGTGCAAGTGTACAACATTTCAAGAGTTGAAGACAAGTTAGGGCATTAAAGAGGAAAAGTTCTAAATAATGGGTTATACTCCACTTGGTGGTAGGGGGAAATATCCAGGTCATCTTCATGCATGCATATGTGTGGTTGCTATGTAAATGCTACAAGACAGACATTTCCATTAAGTCAGTTTAAGTCATTATGGATAGTATATCATCTATAGAACCAGGTGCCATAGTCAGTTTTCTAAATTATGGGACCATTTTATATTAAATATATCCTGAGGGGAAGAAAAAGAAAAAGAGTCTATACACACCTGCCTCCAATGACATCATGTAAGGCATTAAGCAAATGATTAGAGTTATTTGCAGCAGGTTCATTTAATTTTTAGGGTGTTTCCCGATCTATTTAATTTTATTTGTCTTACAAAGGTGTTATGTGGGCCAACAACAACATATTTTGAAGTTATTTCAGAACCCTGTCCAATTGGAAAAGGACTTGAAAGCTTCAGGCCTTGTACTTATCTAAAGTTGATTGCAGTTGACCATCTTCATTTTGATGCATCCAATGATAACATCGACTCAAATACACATAGAGTTAGGTTTTATTATTATCATTCAGTGCACTTTTTGCATACTTTATAATCTGTGAAATCTTGCCGTGTAAAGGCATACCTCATGACAACCTGTGTTATCTGTGTCAATTTCTTAGTGCACTAAATGAATGATTTAAAATAATTTAAACGAGCACTGGTTGCTTTATAATGAGAAAAATCTCGCAAACCAATGTGTTCTGTTTATTATTTTAAATTTCATAATTTGCGACAAATGCGCACATGGAGAGCGACAAAAACTTAATCTTATTGTTTAAACATGAACCCTCTCGGTTTTTCAAAATGTTTTCTTGATTCAACCAATAGCTGCAAAACGTAGCACCTTTGCGCATGTTTACTTGTGCCATTTACCCTATAAGAAGATCAGTCTCAACCTTATACGCACTTAATCTGTTTGCATAAAGAGGGAGCTCCCCAGCCCCGGTCAGAGCAGCGCCTCATGGAGAGGGCGCCTGTCAGAATTACCCAAGCAGACATACTGAGTAACCATAAAATGCGCAAATGGAAAGCACCACATTCTACCTTGTTTTTGCGCCGGCTTAAGATTGCTGATGAGTTTTTTTGTTGCGCTGGTGCATACCCCTCGTCCCTCCAACAGAGCTTGCAAAGGACGGTTCTCCCCGGGCTGATGCTTGCAGGTCAAGCCGGAGCCGCAGCGCGCAGTGTACACTCCACAAGCCTGTCCTTCGCCGAGGGCGCACGTCATGCAGCAGCCGCAGCCGGGCTCTCTCACGCTCTCCGCGCAGTCCTTCGGCAGCGGTTTGCACTGCTGCAGCACGCTGGCGTCGCACGGCTCACATCGGACCACCGGCCCCACAGAGCCGGTGAGCCGGGCGAGCGCAGCCAGCGCGACGGCGAGACAAAGCGCGCAGAGACCTGGCATTATAGTGATTAAGCTTGTCACAAAGGGACAGAATGGGAGTTGTCACACGGGCTTAAGGTGACTCTCTGTGACACAGCGAGCCGACTGGCCTTCTCCATCTGTGTTTTCTTTTGCGCAAACTTCTCGCTTTATACAGGCGGAAAAAGAGCCAGCAAGTCACACCCTCCTCCGTATGAATAATGTAAGCGGAGAGCCCCAACATGAAGAGCCGCTACGTTCAGACTCCGGAGAGCGCTGCGCAAACATTACATTTTCTCAGGCGCGCATTCACAGCATTTCCATACAGTCCAGGGAAACTAGACAATGTTACATTCTTACAAATTGATGTTCACAGTTTGAGCTATTTTGGAAAGAAATTATTAAATTAATAATTTTATCTGTAGCTATGCAAAGCTATTAGAGACTTGATCCAAATAACTTGCAACTGTTTAATTACAGTGAAACTCGTTTCTAGTCCAGTAGGGTAAACAAACATGCACATTTTTAAATTTGCATTAAATATTGCTATTTGTAGATGTATTTGAGAAACCATGTACACTTTTCCTTCCACTTCACAATAGTGAACCGGTCTGTGCTGCTGGTCTACAAGATTAAAGTCTCAGTTCTGGTTGAACTTTGTGATTGTTATGTGACATAACGGAAAAAGTGAAATAGTTTTGCAAATGATCAGTTTACAAGGCACCGGTCATGTCTACAGCAAAAGAAATGTTGTTTTACTCTTGGTCTATGAAAGCCTCAGCATTCAAATAATAACATCAGTCAGAACACCAGCCATAATCGGTCTGCATATCTGATTCGGTCTGCTCATCATTCATATACCTTAAGCAGACCTGGTGATCTGGCATTTTCCCTCATCCTGACTGCCACCACATACCGTACAGCTCAAAGACCTCCACCCTTTCACCTTTTATAACATGACTGACCCAACATGATTCCAAATTTTTGAACAAAAAAATGCGTAGATTGTGCAGGCTAAACACTGCATGCCCCTTCCAGTCTGATATGTCCCCCTGTGCTGCAATAACAAACACGAGAGGGGGGTACATGCTGAGAAAATAAAGCAATCAGTACTGACCATTGTATGATTTCTACCACAGAAGCAGAAAAAGTGTAAAGTCTACATTACAAAAAAGCAAGCAGAGAGTAAGGAAACACCCCAAGAAAAGCGAGAAAACTCAATGCTGAGTTTTCTTAGTATGACTTTTTTTTCTGTTTCTGGATATTTTAGTTTCTTGAATATTTAGAGCCTCACGTTCGGCTTGCTTATTTTCTGTACTTCAGCCAGAGTGTAGCTTACTTGAACAGCCTGGGAGGTTTAACTAATTCAGAAGAAGATGTTATGCGTGTGTAAATAATGTTTGCTCTTGCTTTAATTGATACAACAAGATTTACTGGTGGCAGGGAGGGGTGGTGGTGGTAAAGGAAGTATGATCTCAATGTTTTGCCCTCTTATGGCTTCATGACAATTAATAGGCAGCAGGAAAACCACATTTTCCTTTTCTTACTTGATATTCTTTCTCAAAGTTGAACCTTCACATCCATGTCTTCACCTCTTGAAGATCTTCCTCTGACATTTCCTTTGTTATGAAATCTGCTCCCAATGTACAATGACAGGCAGATATTGATATACACAGAAAAAATAAACAACTTTTCTTATTTTTCTCCATGACTGACATTAAATGAAGCTGACCCTATTCTGTTTTTAGCTCACTAAGAGTAAACATTTATATTTTTTAAATACCAGAATATACAATGAGAACCATTTTTTTAGACATTTCTAACTTTTTCAACTTGAGAACTTTGGATTCCTTTATTGTGTATTTTATATAATAAACGAAAAACAGTTTGATTTGGTTTCACTTTGGGTATCCTTCCACAAACACAAACACAGCTTCTAGCTTGACTGCCACTTTGTGCCGCATTAATAGGGGTGTAATGGTTGAACTAGCTAAGAAAAAATGGAGCTAGGTTCACAACAAGCTCATCGAACCTACTGTTATCTATTTGATTGTGGAAAATGAAGGTATGTAAACTTGACTATAAAATCTCAATCATGTTGAACCAGTTATCACAAAAATGCACAATATGCCAGAAATTGTCTACCTGTATGTGATTTATGTAAGACAAGAAATGGTGACAAAATAAATAACTACTTATCTAGATTTATGATATAACAGTAAGAGCCATAACTGACTTGACTTGACTATAGTCCTCATGCCATACACCAGTTAAACTCTTTCTATTTGGGCAAGCAGTTGTCAGGGAGGAATGTCAAGAAAAAACATCCCTTCCTTCACAAACATAAATATTAGATGTCATCTGAACCCTGTAGTTCAGATCATATCACTTGCACCATTTGATCTGATGAGACTAAGCGGCTTCTCCTGGTTTGTCGTCCTTCATCATTTGATATGATGAAGTGTCATTCTACTCTTATAACTAGATAATTCCAAATTGAAGGACTGAGATTCTTTACTTTCTTTTATGACCTACAAGCTGAACCACAGAGGTTGGCAAGCTTCTCCAGAGGACTGAAGCAATAGAAATGAAGACACATTGACTAGAGATAGATGCCAATATGGGCTTGTGGAATTATTATACAACCTTACCAATGATTCAAAATGATAAAGAAACTGACAGACAGTACCTTGACAAGCAACTGAGATGTTCCTTCTTTGACTCTGGCCCTGAGAACAAAACAGTGAACTGCAGCCAAAACAAACCCCATCATCTATGAAACTACAATTCAACTGATAAACAAGTTTGCTGCACTTCAAAAGGAATTTACAAGGGAAACCTAAATTTCAAACATCAACAAGAGGTATGAAGCAAGGCATGAGGCAAGATCGAAGATATCATTTAACGATAAACATGCAAGGGACGCATTCTTTCATTGACAAAAAGACCAACTGCCCTTTTGTCATGTTTGGCACAGTTGACAGATTGAGAAACGTTTCTGAGGTTGTAACATCTAAATTAAACTCTAGGGCCTGCAATGAATTTTCCACCTTCATTATAGAGAAAATTCAAGGCTGTTGTAAAGGAATAGTGAACTATTTAAAATAAATTGTCTAAATTATTTAAATTTGTTGACTACTTAAAGTAAATTATTTTCTAAATTAAGCATGGTGTCGATTGTTTGTGGATGTTCGTCTGCTTGATTGGCACTGTTGGTTGTTTTATTTTGTTTTCGTTTAATATTTGCACTTTGTAATGTTTGGTGTTTTTTTCTATGTACCTCACAGGCTGCTGTAGCTGATGAGGGCAGGCACAATGAAAAATGACAGAATCATTGTACTAATGAATGACTTGAACTGTCAAGTTCTCAAACTGCTGAACTGTCTGGACAAGTCACTACTGCAGAATTATTTACCAATCTGCAGAGTCCAAAAGCTGCATTTCAACACTTTAAAGGCTTCTTGACAATGACCAAGTACTTAGACGTCTTTCTGTCCGGTTTTTGTGCTCACCACAGTACTGAGACTGCTCTTGTCAAAGTGTTCAATGACATCCACATAAATACAGACTATGAAAGAACCACAGTGCTGGTTCTGTTGGACCTCAGTGCAGCATTTGACACTGTTGACCATGACATATTATTAAAGCAACTGGAGAGCTGGATTGGACTTTCTGGTCCAGTACTTGACTGGTTCAAATCTTACCTAAAGGACAGGGACTTCTTTGTGTCAGTAGGTAACCTTTCATGTGGAGTATCCCAAGATTTAACCCTGGGGCACCCGCTACGCAGATGATACACAGCTCTTTATTACCATGTCACCAGGTGAGTCCAACCCTATCCAAGCACTGAACAGAAGCTTAGAGCAAATCAATGTCTGGATGTGTCAAAACCTTCTCCACCTGAACAGAAATAAGACTGAATTCATCTTTTCACCTAAAGAAGAATGATCAAGAGTCATCATCCAGGTTCTGTTATTACAGCTAGAAACTAGTGAGAAGGCTTAAAATCTGAATACCTCCATAAAGCAGAGAATAGACTTTAAAATACTTATTTTAGCTTATAAATCACTCAATAGCTTTGCACCACAGTACACTAAAGATCTGCTGTCGCTCATACAAAAAACTCTCAGGTCTTCTGGCTTATGTTCACACTGCATCCCAGAGTTAGAACCAAACATAGAGAAACAGGAGTGTTTATGTACCACAAATATGAAACAAACCTCTACAATATTACAAAACAGCTGAAACATTTAGCTCCCTCAAATCAAGATTAGAAATCTTCTTGTTTAGAGCTGCCTTGTATTACTAATAACTGGAACACTGATTATATATGTGATGTATAGTTGAAGATAATTATTTTTGATGATGTTGATGGTGGCATTTGCTTATGTAATGTTTGTTGCTATTTTCATAATTGGTTATAGGACTATACAAATAAACTTGACATGGCTTAACTAAGACCCTGTGCACATTACTATCCTTTGAGCAGGGGTGCCCAGATACAGTACTTAAGAGCTACCACTGTGCAGCCTTAAGATGTCTCTTTTCCAACGCAGCTGAATCAAATTAAAGGCTTCTTACCAAGCCTCTTCAAAACTGAGTAGCATCGCAATGAAGGAATTCAGCCATTTGACTCAGATATGTTGGAAGAAAGAGAAATTTAAAAGTTGTAGTCCATCCTGAAATTGGGCATCCTCAAGTAATGTCATAATGGAGTGTGTCAGAAACCTGAAACAAATGGGTATTTTTGTAGGAGAATGATTTAGTACTCTCATGTAAGTTCAAGGGGTTTGTACAAGGTTTCAACCACAGTGTTCTAATGATGGTGACATAATGCCTAACCATATTGAACTAGACACAGCCCAATTCTTCTATGACACTGCGTTTATTTTAGCAGCCTGGATTCAAGATTTCATCCATTTTTTATTTTATGAAAGGCTCTGGAATTTATTCATGAAGAAAAAAAAGCCACATTTTTGCAGACAAAACCACAATTCGTCTGTCCCCTGCTACACCATGTCATCAGCTCTGATCAAGACAAAAAGCAATCTAAAATTGTATAACATAATTCACCATACTATACACAGGAACTTTCAAACAACTCCTCAATTTCATTATAGAAATGAGTGAGTGCA